TTAGCAAGTATTTCATAACAAAAGAATTAACGAATCATTGTTTCAAATGAACAATCTTTCTCATGATTAATTTGAACCAGCGTTATGTAACAAGGAGGGAGGGTGTCCAAAATGTCTTTTTTGCGTAATATGAATGCCCCTAATGAGTTTGCAACTATAGATATTTCGTCCCCTAATCGTGTCCATATAAATTGGTAGTTTGGTAATATCGTATCAATGCCTTCATACCAAGGAGATCAGACACGGAAAGTTATTATGACGTCACTGTATTGTTCAAAAGACTATTGCTAGGCTATAAGTTTTTACACTAGTTTTTGATGCTGGCTTACAGAATGGAAGGTTATCAGACTAAAATAAGTGCGGAGAACAGAGAAGATGAAGGTTTTCTATTGCACCAAAGACCGATAGGAAAAGTTCCTCGGGACATTGAAGATGACAGCATTGTAGGTGTTAAACCCTTTCTTGATGCTGTGATAAAAACACAAGATGAGTCTGTGAATAACAACTCAATGGAGATGAAAGTAATACCATCTAAACCTACTAGTAGTAGTGATGTCGACAATGACGACTGGAACTGGCCAGTCCAACAAAATTATATTATTTTTAAAGATTCAGATTCTTTTTGTAAAGGTATGGTGTAAAAAAGTTTTAATTGTTTCATTCTGTAGAGAAATATAGAAATAATAACAAAAGAGAGTGTCACTTATAGATGGGTTTCCTTATTTTTTTAAATTTAAGCGAACCAATTATTAAGAGTTTTAACCAATCATAAATGTCCATGTATGTAGAGTCTGGATTAACCTTTCTTGATCGGTCACTCGTTGTCACTGTTAATTTTCTCTTAATTTTGCTAATTATGAATTAATTATGGTCATGTGAGACAAACTGGTATATTTCCAAGTCATTAGAACACCTCTACTTTCTATTCATATAAGTATTAGCAGGGGAACCCATCTTTAACATACTTATATAAGATATAACAGTGAATACCTCAAATGATTTTTAAGATGACTGTAAAGATAACAGGAATCTAGAAAATAAAACATAAATATATTCTTTAATTTCAGAAGTTGACAGATTGATATGTAAATACTCTAACAGCAACTGTGATTTAGAATATGCTTCATTATTCATTCAAATAATAGCTGAACATTCATACGAAACCAACACCTCGACTAATTTATTAGATCAACACGAGATGGAAGATGTCACGTCAGGTGCTGAAATATACAGACAGTTCCTAACTACAAAACTATCGACATATTACCAACAACTAAATCTACTAGGTGAGAGCAGTATAATTTATTTCTTATTGAATGTTACAAACTCAAAAGACATCATCTGTATCTTTTAATGAAGTAGCAATCTATCACAAATATTACAAGATATTAACTGTCAAGACCAACGCTTGAAAAAAATGCTCACAATCAGTCAATAATTTGTCATATAAAGCAGTTATTTTGTAATTATTGTTGATTCTCTTTTTAGTTCTGTCAAAGTATCATCTTTATATTATATATTATCTAACATTTAATCTAATGTTATTATTCATTTTCAGACAATACAATAACTGAACAAAAACCAAAACCAAAAATATTCAGAATTCTTAACTCAATGAGGAAAGGTCTGAAGATGTGTAGAAATAAAATGAAATGAATGAACTTCCTTCTTCTGCATCATGTGGGATAATGAAGACGGCAACGCCATGCAGGGTGCAACGAGGGAAATTTTGCCAAGACAGCGGCATTAGCCTGCTGTTTTTCGATTTCCAACTGTCGATAGATCTTTAACGTGCACACGGGGCCTCGATTAATTGTCCCATCCGAGTCGGCCCCTCTTGCCTGCATCGTTGACAAGGGGAAAACCGGGTTGAAAAATCCGAAGGTATTATCTCGACCTATAACGAAATTGAACCCTGTACCTTCAGATTAGCGAGCAAGCATTTAACTCACTGAGCCACTGAGGATGTGTAGAGGAAAATGAGTAGCCTAACTACGAGGAAGACGAGTCGTCATTATAATTATTTAACATTTATGCCTTAATAAGATCCTTATTTTTATGTGTATGTGTGTAGTTATGTTAAATACATATAGATTGTGATAATGTAGTTTATATGATTGTGATAATATATATATACATGTATCGTAAACTAGTCATTTAATTAGCACTTTAGTAAGTAATAAGTTTGATATTAATATTCCTACAGTGTAATTCTGTAAGATAGTAATTTTCATAACTCCAATGTCGAAAATTACCAATGGAAAATATGCATTTTTCTTTGTAAAAATGAAATAAAATTGAAAGAACACTCTATCCCCCTGACTCTTCTTTTTTTTTCGAAAAAAATGGCGACGGACCGTCCCAAATCAAAGCTCTGTGGACCTGCCTGTCCGTATCATACGGTTGGAGATAATGGATTCTCAGCAGTTATTAGCAGTGGTCTGTAGTATTGTGAGGTAACACCAGTTACTTCCCATTCAGCAATCAGAGTGTCGAGTCGGAGAGATTTCACAGCATATCGAGTACGAAAGATTTGACACTTGGGTTTGACATCTTTTGCGACATGGATTCCTAAACTGACATTCTTAAATGATGCAACTGTTGTATCCACGAGGGGCACTTCTCAAACTATCCCCAAAATTTCTCTTTGTCAGCATATATATCGCCATTTCTTATACTAAAATAAACTTCATTGGGGTCTAATTGAGGATCCAACATTCTTAAGTAAACGTGTTGTGGATTTGACCTGATTAATGCTAATAAACAGAGCTAAGTTTCAGACGACAAATACCAAGCATGTATAATGTGATAAAATGGTAACATTACAGAGATTATCTAGCTTTGTGTTACAAAGGAAGGTGGAGACAAGTATTACATTACAAAACTTTATGATGATTAATATGAACCAGTGTTATGTAACAAGGAAGGAGTACTGTGTTACAAGGTGTCTTTTTTTGCGTAACGTAATTTTTCAATGTCCCTAAAGAGTTTTCAAACGGTCGATAGACATTTCGTCCATTATTCGTATCCATAAAAATGGGTAGTTTCGTAATATCGTATCAATGCCTTCATACCAAGAAGATCAGACACGGAAAGTTATTATGACGTCACTGTATTGTTCTAAAGACTATTGCTAGGCTATAAGTTTTTACACTAGTTTTTGATGCTGGCTTACAGAATGGAAGGTTATCAGACTAAAATAAGTGCGGAAAACAGAGAAGATGGAGGTTTTCTATTGCATCAAAGAACGATAGGAAAAGTTCCTCGGGACATTGAAGATGACAGCATTGTAGGTGTTAAACCTTTTCTAGATGCTGTGATAAAAACACAAGATGAGTCTGTGAATAACAACTCAATGGAGATGAAAGTAATACCATCTAAACCTACTACAAGTAGTGATGTCGACAATGACGACTGGAACTGGCCAGTCCAACAAAATTATATTATTTTTAAAGATTCAGATTCTTTTTGTAAAGGTATGGTGTAAAAAAGTTTTAATTGTTTCATTCTGTAGAGAACTGGTATATTTCCAAGTCATTTGAACACCTCTACTTTCTATTCATATAAGTATTAGCATGGGAACCCATCTTTAACATGCTTATATAAGATATAACAGTGAATACCTCAAATGATTTTTTTAAGATGACAGTAAAGATAACAGGAAACTAGAAAATAAAACATAAATGTATTCTTTAATTTCAGAAGTTGACAGATTGATATGTAAATACTCTAACAGCAACTGTGATTTAGAATATGCTTCATTATTCATTCAAATAATAGCTGAACATTCATACGAAACCAACACCTCGACTAATTTATTAGATCAACACGAGATGGAAGATGTCACGTCAGGTGCTGAAATATACAGACAGTTCCTAACTACAAAACTATCGACATATTACCAACAACTAAATCTACTAGGTGAGAGCAGTATAATTTATTTCTTATTGAATGTTACAAACTCAAAAGACACCATCTGTATCTTTTAATGAAGTAGCAATCTATCACAAATATTACAAGATATTAACTGTCAAGACCAACGCTTGAAAATTGTCAAATCATCACAAGAATGATAAAAATCCTTGCCTTTCAAATGCCTGCACAAACAAAACATGGCCACAATCCGTCAATAATTGTCATATAAAGCATGAAATGGTTGAAGTCCAAGTTGTTATACTTTTGTATTTGTAATTATTGTTGACTCCCTTTTTAGTTCCGTCAAAGTATCATCTTTATATTGACAAATTTTATATATTATCTAACATTTAATCTAATGTTATTATTCATTTTCAGACAATACAATAACTGAACAAAAACCAAAACCAAAAATATTCAGAATTTTTAACTCTATGAGGAAAGGTCTGAGGATGTGTAGAAATAAAATGAAATGAATGGAGTGAACTTCCTACTTCTACATCATGTGGGATAATGAAGACGGCAACGCCATGCAGGGTGCAACGAGGGAAATTTTGCCAAGACAGCGGCATTAGCCTGCTGTTTTTCGATTTCCAACTGTCGATAGATCTTTAACGTGCACACGGGGCCTCGATTAATTGTCCCATCCGAGTCGGCCCCTCTTGCCTGCATCGTTGACAAGGGGAAAACCGGGTTGAAAAATCCGAAGGTATTATCTCGACCTATAACGAAATTGAACCCTGTACCTTCAGATTAGCGAGCAAGCATTTAACTCACTGAGCCACTGAGGATGTGTAGAGGAAAATGAGTAGCCTAACTACGAGGAAGACGAGTCGTCATTATAATTATTTAACATTTATGCCTTAATAAGATCCTTATTTTTATGTGTATGTGTGTAGTTATGTTAAATACATATAGATTGTGATAATGTAGTTTATATGATTGTCATAATATATATATACATGTATCATAAACTAGTCATTTAATTAGCACTATAGTAAGTAATAAGTTTGATATTAATATTCCTACAGTGTAATTCTGTAAGATAGTAATTTTCATAACTCCAATGTCGAAAATTACCAATGGAAAATATGCATTTTTCTTTGTAAAAATGAAATAAAATTGAAAGAACACTCTATCCCCCTGACTCTTCTTTTTTTTTCGAAAAAAATGGCGACGGACCGTACCAAATCAAAGCTCTGTGGACCTGCCTGTCCGTTATCATACGGTTGGAGATAATGGATTCTCAGCAGTTATTAGCAGTGGTCTGTAGTATTGTGAGGTAACACCAGTTACTTCCCATTCAGCAATCAGAGTGTCGAGTCGGAGAGATTTCATCAGCATATCGAGTACGAAAGATTTGACACTTGGGTTTGACATCTTTTGCGACATGGATTCCTAAACGGACATTCTTAAATGATGCAACTGTTGTATCCACGAGGGGCACTTCTCAAACTATCCCCAAAATTTCTCTTTGTCAGCATATATATCGCCATTTCTTATACTAAAATAAACTTCATTGGGGTCTAATTGAGGATCCAACATTCTTAAGTAAACGTGTTGTGGATTTGACCTGATTAATGCTAATAAACAGAGCTAAGTTTCAGACGACAAATACCAAGCATGTATAATGTGATAAAATGGTAACATTACAGAGATTATCTAGCTTTGTGTTACAAAGGAAGGTGGAGACAAGTATTACATTACAAAACTTTATGATGATTAATATGAACCAGTGTTATGTAACAAGGAAGGAGTACTGTGTTACAAGGTGTCTTTTTTTGCGTAACGTAATTTTTCAATGTCCCTAAAGAGTTTTCAAACGGTCGATAGACATTTCGTCCATTATTCGTATCCATAAAAATGGGTAGTTTCGTAATATCGTATCAATGCCTTCATACCAAGAAGATCAGACACGGAAAGTTATTATGACGTCACTGTATTGTTCTAAAGACTATTGCTAGGCTATAAGTTTTTACACTAGTTTTTGATGCTGGCTTACAGAATGGAAGGTTATCAGACTAAAATAAGTGCGGAAAA